CCACTGACTGAGGCTGACGTGAGATGACACAGCTGTTTCCTCTTTTCATCAAGTCCATGGTCCTGATGCATGATCACACAAAACAGACATTTGACAGGGGAGTTACATGCAGTGTCGGAGATGCTCAGCCCCTAATGGTGAGCACTGAACCGATATCTGAACTCACATCAACGTTATGCCAGGTCTCCTTTGGCTAAACAGTAATACCTCAAAACAGGGTTCCTTCAGTGAGCGAGTTCACTCCAGGAAAGAAGTGAGCAGTGTCCCCAACTTCACATAAATTTATCAGACTATCCCTATCCACTTTTAAATTTTTACCCCTTCCTAACTGTATTGGTCAGGGTTTCTACTGCTGTAATCAGACACTGTGACCAAGGCAACTTATAAAAGGAAGAGTTTCTTTGGGGCTTACAGTTCCAGAGGGGTGAGTCTGTCACTATCATGCTGGGGAGCATGGCAACAAGCAGGCATGTGACGGAGCAGCAGCCAAGACCCCACATCTCCATCCACAAACAGGAAGCAGAGAGAGATACCTCAAGATGGCTTGAGTATTTTGAAACTTCAAAGCCCACCCCAAGTGACATACTTTCTCCAGCAAGGCCATACTTCCTTAGCCTACCCAAATAGCCACCAACTGAGGACCAAATATTCCAATGCCTGCAACTTAATGGGGTCATATCATTGAAACTACCGTACCAACCAATGCCATAGCTCTAGTATACAAAATACAGTGAGATCAAGACTCCAATTTGCTACCAGTACAGCTTAAATTTGAGGTAGTTTTCTGAAAGCTTGGGCTTATAAACTACAGGAATTGTGGGTCAAATTTAGAAAAGTTACTGAAATTTTGGTGTGTCTTATCTAGGCCCTGAACCAGGAGTTAAAGGTCATGGGTTCATTAATAATTTGCTTAAACTTCTTAGCACATTGAGGAGCAACCAAACAATTCTGTCTCCACTAAGTGTTATATGCAGTGTGTACTTTTTCCTCTAATGCCTTTCCTGTAGTCACTTTATAGACATCTACAGGGGATCCTTTAATATATATATATATAGTGTGTGTGTGTGTGTGTGTGTGTGTGTGTGTGTGTGTGTGTG